TGCTGGGTTTAAACCCACCACCTCTGATATATGGGGCTGGCACCCTACTCCTTTGAGCCACAGGCGCTGCCCAATGCCTGGCTATTTTTTCTACAGTTGTCATCGTTGTTTAGCAGGCCCGGGCCGGGTTCAAATCTGCCAGCCTGGGTATATGTGGCTGGCACCCCATACCCCGAGCTGCCTGTTTGGTTCTTTTTTATGATATCTCTTTGTCGATTTTCTCATTCAAATCATGAATTGTTTTCCTGACTCCATCGAATTATCTATCTGTATTTTCTTGTGTTTGAAGGTTTTTAAAAGGTTATTTTGAACTTCTTCTGCCATTTCCTGTATTTCCTTATGATTCAATTCTTCTATTGGAGAATTATGTGTTCCTTTGAAGATGTCTCCTTTTTCATGTTGAATGTATCACTACATTTATTTCTACACATCTAAAGAAAGAGTTGCCTTTGCTAAATTTTATTGGGTAGGTTTCACAAGAAAAGACTTATTTGTTATTGCTGGACCTTGGGATGTTGGTTCAGCGGGGTTATTGGCTTTGGTTCTGGGTAGAGGCAGTAGTGTCATCTGTGTGGTTTTATCAGTTGTGATCCATGCTAGTGACATTTGGGTATGTCTCAGTGGCCTAGTCTGAGAGAGTTTGTGGTGCTGGTGATACAGCTTTGCTGGGGATGGGCTTGCTGAGCTATTTTTCAGGTCGGTGTGTGTGAGCATGATGGGTCAGCACACCTGGGATCTTGCTCTTTGCTTGGCTTTGGGCTATGGGCTATTACTCTGGCCAGGAGCACAGATGTGTGATTTCTCAGCTACTTCTCAGGCTCAGGATGTAGCCATACAGTTTCTTGGCTGACTTGGGCATATGTGTCTGCTGGAGGAGGCCCATCCAAGATGTTTCTCTGGCCTGGGAGATGGGAGTGCAAAGCCTGCCTGGGGTGGCGCATGGAGCTGTGTTTCAGACCCATGCACAGGACATAGATGCACAGTTGCTTGGCTGGCCTGGGGTGTATCTGCCCAGGGTATCCACAGGGCTGTTTCTCATTTCTAGGATGGGGGCTTACATCTGCTTGGCCAGGCTAGGGGTGTATCTGCCAGGTGGTGGCATCAAGAGCTGATGGGGTTCTTCAGCTTGCCTTTCTCTGCAAGAGTGAGTCCTTCCTAGGGCTGGATCGCTCTGTTCTGGGCAGGCGAGATGGGCGTACAAAGGCCAGGTCCCTCCACGCTGACCACACTGACAGGAGCCATCCACAGGGCTATTTTTAAGGCCTGGGACATGGCTGTGCATCTGCTTTGCTGGTCTGGATGTGTGTCTGCCAGGGGCAGCCTACAAGGCTGTTTCTCAGGCCCTGACTGCAGGTGTAGGTCTATTGGACAGGCCAGAGGCATGTCTGCTGGAGGAGGGTGGCCCACAGGGATGATTCTCAAGCCCTAAGGATGGGCAGTAGCCACACACATCAGCTACTTGGGTACCCGTCTAGCATGGGTACCTCTCCTACTCAGGGTAGGGCATGCAGTGGTTTTGTTTTTTCAAGGGTAGGTTTACTCTAGGTGAATCTTCTAGACTGTTCCTCCAGCTCTAAGTGGGTTCGTTTCTCTGCTGTGCAGGACCAGAGTCACCACCAATCCTGAACCCAGGTTCTATGCAGCTGGGCTTGTAGCATTCAGCCACCTGTGGGGAATGAAGATGGTTCTGGAGAGGTGCATTGGCTACCGGCCCCAAGAGCAGGGTGCACTCTGGCGGGGGTTCTGGTCTGCAGGTGGTGCCATGCTGCAGCGGCCTGGCTCTCGGTAGTGCTGATGGGATGTGGAGGATGGGACATGGAAGATGGAGAGTGCACATGTTATACTCCCCATCTGGAGCAGTGCAGTTGTGTGAATTCCTGCCAGCTCTCCAAATTGGGCTTGAGGAGAGTGGGATTCTCTAGTAGTAAGGACTGTAGGTGTTTGTGGTGGCATCAAGAGCTGGTGGGGCTCTTCAGCTTGCGTTTCTCTGCAAGGGTGAGTTCTTCCTAGGGCTGGATCATTCTGTTCTGGGCAGGTGAGATGGGGATACAGAGGCCAGGTCCCTCCATGCTGACTTGCTGGGCTACCAGTCACCACACATGCCTTTCTCTCCCCCACTGTATTCCAGGGCTCTCCCTTTGACACTCCAGTCAACTCTTAGCTGTTTATTAATTGCCTCTGTCCTTTCTTGTGGGGGGAAGTAGTGCCAGGGGTTTCTGTTTAGCCATTTGCTGACATCCCACCAAGTATTTATTCCATCATTTTTTATAAATCCCATGAGAGCTCTGATGTGACTGTTATCTCTGCACTGAGGTATCAGAGATAGTATCCTGAACAAGGTGATCTTTGCAGCTTGGACAGAATATGGACAGGTGGAGATAGGAGACGGGGCTCCTATAAATGTGAGGACTGAGGCAGAGATTGTGTATTTTCTGTTTCTCAGACAGCAGAACCAAATGTCTGGTGCAAAAGGGTCATGTGGGTTATTAGTGAGAATAAAAGTTAAGGTTGGTAATTCAGAGTGTGCTTATTATATTATGAATTCTACATTATTTTCATAAAATTGACTTTGAAACTCAGCATGTATTTCTGTGAACAATCAGATACCCTTTAATGCAAAATTACATGGTCATTTTAAATGCTGTAATGTGTAGTCATGACATTGTATCTGCTTGAGAGATAGTATTTGTGCCTTTGGTGTCAAGTAGCCTATGAGACAAACTTTGGCTTAAAAAAAAAAGTCTGCTTTTGTTTGGTCTTGTGTTTCTCAGATATATCTTGGAGGATTAGTATGAATATTATATCCTCCCATCATCTCTTTAACAAGCAGTAATCCTCTGAGGACCAGGCTTGTGTCTTATTCATCCTCTATCTCTTTGAGCACTTCCAGTTCCTGGCATAACTAAAGATGCAATAAATTATGGTTGAATTGAATTTTCAAAGCATACATGGCTGGCCACCTCTGCACTTGTGGGAGTAATTTGCAGCCGAGCTGTATCTTCTGAGATATGTAATACATTTAATATTGTTCTTAGGTCCAGCCTGATGAAGGAAGAAGCTAAGCGAGGAGCACGCAACCCTTGGCTCTTTGAGGAGCCAGAGGAAACCAGAGGTTTGGGTTTTGATGAAATCCGGCAACAGCAACAGAGAATTATCCAAGGTACCAAATACCCTGAGGAGTGTGGGCTCAGAAGCCTTGCCAGATTGTTACTATAGCCTTGAACACTCCTTGTCCCCATTGAAAATTAGAGTTCAAATTGTTGGTCTTGTAAAGTTCTTGGTATTTTTGTACTTCAGGAAACCTGATAAATAGGCAGTTGCTGTTACCCATTTCAGTAACTCATGAAAGTAGTGATTGTCTGTTGGACAAGAGGAAAGAGCAGATCTGAATCTGTGCAGGGGAATTTGCTGCATGTGCCTTTGCTTTGATGCACAACTGGAATTATTCTTCAAACACAAGATTAGTTTTTTTCCTATAAAATATGTCAGTTTGGCTTTTACGTTCAAGTTCATCTTGGCCAGTGGCTTTTAAACCTAATTATTTTTTACTTCTATCTTTTATTATTTATTTATTTTTGAGACAGAGTCTCACTTTGTAGCCCTTGGTAAAGTGCTGTAGCATCACAGCCCACAGCAACCTCAAACTCTTGGGCTTAAGAGATTCTCTTGCCTCACCCTCTCAAGTAGCTGGGATTACAGGGGCCCACCACACTGCCTGGCTATTTTTAGAGATGAGGTCTCACTCTGGCTCAGGCTGGTATCAAACCTGAGAGCTCATGCGAACCACCCACCTTGGCCTCTCAAAGTGCTAGGATTATAAGCATGAGTCCCCGTGCCCTGCTTACTTCTATTTTTTAAATTTTAGGAGTAATATGTGATTATTTTGTAAAAGTCAAATAATATAGGGATGTTTAAAATGAAAGTCCTCTATATTTCTTCTCCTATCTCAAACTATAAATGGATTAATATTTATTTTTTGTAGCCCTTTTTGTATACATATATATATTCAATCTAATCATACTTACTGAATATATAAACAGGGTCAGCAAGTACATAGCCATAAGCTAGCTCTCTCCATATCTATCATTTCTTTCTTTTTTTTTTTTTTTTTGGTGACAGAGCCTCAGGCTGTCACCCTGAGTAGAGTGCTATGGCATCACAGCTCACAGCAACATCACAGCTCACAGCAACCTCCAACTCCTGGGCTCAAGCGAGTCTCCTGCCTCAGCCTCCCAAGTAGCTGGGACCACAGACACCCGCCACAATGCCCGGCTATTGTTTGGTTGCAGCCATCATTGTTGTTTGGGTGGATTCGAACCCGCCACCTTAGGTGTATGTGGCTGGCACCTTAGCTACTTGAGCCACAGACGCCGAGCCCATACCTATCATTTCATGCCTTTTGCTTTTTCCTTAGTGTGTGTTGGACATTTTTTCATGTCAGTATGTACAGATATGCCATTCTTTCTAATTCTGCTTTTTAAAGCTAGGGAGATATAGTTGGCATTATCATAAATAGCACATGTTTGAAATACATAATTTGATGAGCTTTGACATATGTATATACCTGTGAAACCATCACTATGATCAAAATAATAAGCATAATCATTACTCCCAGAAGTTTTCTTCATGCCTCTTTGTAATTCTTCCTGTTGTTCCTCCCTTCATCCCTAGGCGATGACTGCTGGTCTGTTTTCTGTTATTATAAATTAGTTTACCTTTCCTATAATTTTGCATAAATAGAACCGTACAGTATGTACCCTTTTTAGGTGAGAAGGAGTCTGGCTTCTTTCTCCAAGCGTAATTATTTTAAGATTCATCTATATCAGTGGTTCTCAACCTTCCTAATGCCGCGGCCCTTTAATACAGTTCCTTTGGGTCATGACCCACAGGTTGAGAACCGCTGCTGTACATTACTGTGCGTATCAGCATTTCACTGTCTTGTAGAATAGTTTCCCTTGGTATGAATTTACCACAGTCTGTGTACCCATTCGCCTATTGATGAATATTTAGGTTGTTTTTAGTTTATGGTGGAAATAAATGCAAACTGCTATTGGTGTTCATGTATTAGTCTTTGGACATAAAATTTCATTTTTTTCTTAGGTAAATAATTTACAAGTGGAATGACTGAGTTCATATAGTGGGTATCTATGTAACTTTAGAAAATTTTTTTAAATTAAATTTTAATTGGCAAACATATTTTTAAAAATCCATATTTCTGTTGTGCAGCTTGGTGCTTTGCAATATGGATGTATTGTAGAATGGGTAGATCAAGCTAATTAGCATGCCATTACCTCACATGCATATCTATTGATATTTGTGGTAAGGATACTGGAAACCTCCAAAGAGAGTAAAGCATGATAGTCACCGTGTTGTATAATAGATCTCTTGAACTTGCTCATTCAAACTTTTTGTCTCCTTCGACCAGCATTTCCTCAGTCCCCGCCCCACCCCATCACCCAGCCTCCAGATTCTTGTCTCTGCTTCTACACGTGTGGGTTTCATGTTTCCATGTTCCACGTGTAAGAGAGATCATGTGGCATTTGTCTTTCTGTGCCTGGCTTATTTCGCTTAATGTAATGTCTTCCCGGTTCCTCCGTGTTGTTGCGAATGACAGGATTTTCTTTAAGTCTGAATAGTATTCCATGTGCCGTGTTGACCACATTTTTTAATCCAGGATGGACACTAAGGTTGAGTCCATACCTTGGCTGTGGTGAACAGTGCTGCAGTAAACCTGGGAGTGCAGATGTCTCTTCAAGATACTGACTTCATTGGATGGATATCCAGTAGTGGGATTGCTAGATCATACGGTAATTTCTAGTTTTTTGAGGAACCTCCATATTTTTCATAATGGCTGTACCAAGTTACCTTCCCCTGTATAGTGTCCGAGGTTCCTTTCTTCCCACTTTCTTGCCAACACTGGTTACCTTTTGTCTTTTAGTGTTTGTGTCTTTTTCTGTACATACCAGATGCGTATGTTTTAGCTGTTTCACATCCTCACCAAAACTTGGCATGGTCAGTTTTTTTACTTTTAGTCATTTTAATAGATGTGCAGGTATATTTCATTGTAGTTTTAATAGTATGTATTTTTCTAGTGAGTCTTTGCATATACTTATTTGTTACTTGTATATCTTCTTCGGTAAAATGCCTTTCAGAGTGTTTGCTCATTTTTAATTGGGTTGTTTTTCTGTTAAGTTGGAAGAACTTATGTCTTTTTTATATTTTATATGTCATTTGTCAGACATATGTTTTATGAATATTTTCTCCCAGTCTGTTTATCTTTTTTTCATTTTCTTGACAATATCTATCAAAGAGTAGAAGTTCTTAATTTTGAAGTCCAGTTAATTTTTTCTTGTATTGGTTGGGTTATATCTAAGAAATCATTGACTAACCTAAAGCCATAAGATTTGCTGCTTTGTTATTTTTTCCTAGAAATTTTACAGTTTTAGGTTTTACATTAGATCTGTGATCCACTTTGAATTTTTTTGTGTATATAGTATAGTAAAGTATGGATGGAAATTTGACTTTTTTCATATGGATATCAATTTGGTCTGGCATTATTTCTAAAAAGACTATTTTTTACTGAATTTCTCTAGTTGTGTGAAAAATTAAGTGACCATAAATACATATGGGCCTATTTCTGGACTCTGTGGGTTTTTCTCCATTGGTCTATTTGTTAATCTTTACACCAATGGAGGATTGTATTGATTATTATTTATTTATTTATTTATTTTTTAGAGACAGAGTCTTACTCTGTTGCCCTGGGTAGAGTGCCATGGCGTCACAGCTTATAGCAAACTCCATCTCCTGGGCTTAGGCAATTCTGTTGCCTCAGCCTCCCGAGTAGCTGGGACTACAGGTGCCGCCAGATGCCCAGCTATTTTTTTGTTGTAGTTTGGCCAGGTCTGAGTTCGAACCCCCTACGCTTGGTATATGGGATGTCCTACCCACTAAGCCACAGGTATTGCCCTAATTATTATGTTATTATGACAGGTCTTTAAGTTGCATACTATAAGTCATTCGACTTGTTCTTTCTTTTTGAGACAGTGTCTCGCTGTATTGCCACGGTTGGAGTTTAGAGGCGGCCACATAGCTCACTGCAGCCCCAAATTCCAGGACTCAAGCAATCCTCCTGAGTAGCTGAGACTATGTGCATATGTCGTCATACCTAGAAAAAATTTATTTTTTTCAGAGATAGGATCTTACTATGTTGCCCATGCTGGTCTTAAACTCCTCACCTCCATTGGTTCTCCCACCATGGTCTCCCAAAGTGCTAGGTTTTCAGGTGTGAGCCACTGTGCTTGGCCCAACTTTGTTCTTTTTCATACTTTCATTGGATATTCTTTTTTTTTTTTTTTTTGAGACAGAGCCTCAAGGTGTCACCCTGGGTAGAGTGCTGTGGCATCACAGCTCACAGCAACCTCCAACTCCTGGGCTCCAGCGAGTCTCCTGCCTCAGCCTCCCAAGTACCTGGGACCACAGGCGCCCGCCACAACGCCCGGCTATTTTTTTAGTTGCAGCCGTCATTGTTGTTTGGCAGGCCGGGCCGGATTCGAACCCACCACCTTAGGTGTATGTGGCAGGCGCCTTAGCCACTTGAGCCACGGTGCCAAGCCTTCATTGGATATTCTAAAGCTTTTGAATTTCTGTATGAATTTTAGGATCTGCTTTTAATTTTTACTAAAAAAGCCTCCAGGAATTTTGATTGGGATTATATTGAGTCTTTGGATTAATTTGGGGAAAATTGGCTCTTAACAATATTGAGTCTCCCAATTCACGAATATGATAGATCTCTCCATTTATTTAGTTTTTAAATTTTGTAGCAGTGCTTTTTAGTTTATACTACATATATCTTGTACATCTTTCATCAGATTTATCCCTAAATGCTTCATATTTTATTCAGTTATAAATGGCATTTAAATTTCTGATTATTGCTTATATATAAAAATACACTTGATTTTTGTATATTGATCTTATGCAAACTTGCTGAACTTATAAATTTGTCTTAATAGCTTATTAAGTTGAGCCTTTTGGATTTTCTACACAAAATGATCATGTCACCTGTGAAAAAAAGACTTCTTCATTTTGGTCTTTATGCTTTTTCTTGCCCTATTGCACTTGCTACAGCTTCCAGTACAATGTTGAATATTAAAGGTGAGAGCA